CCCTTCAGGCCTTGATTAGCTTGTTCAGGTGTGTTTGATTAGGGTTGAAGCAAAACTCTGCAGGGACCGACGTTCGCCACCCCTGACATAAATAAAGATGAGGACATAAAAAAATTATAAGGGCTTGGCTAGCCAATTATTAACAATTAACGATCACTCCTCGTTTGACATTAAAATAGAACCTACTATAAAATTGAACCAAGTGTTTCAAAAGCACCCATCACTTAAATAATGGTCCAGTAGCTGATACTGATTTAGTGTAATTCTTATTTCTGATATTTACTGCTGTGATGGTAAGATTTTAACCTAGCTTTGCTAGATTTACTAATTTCAACGATGAAATGCAGACAGCATGTCTACAGCAGTGCAACAGAGCCCTGTCGCTCGTGTATACTACTCACTTCACAATCACTATACTGCATATACTCAACACCATTCACTTCTGCTGGCTTGAGCTGAAAGCGCTAAACTGTGTTTAATAAGGCAGGATGCGCAGGAGACGTGATCGAACATTGTTGATTTATAATCTAATTTTGACAACTCACTTGACTCACTTGAAGTGCAGGTTGCTGTAGTCTATAAGGTGGTGTTTCATAAGGACTACATCAACTAAAATCAACAACACTGTTTTTACGTACCTTACTGCACGTTTCGCCGCAGTTTCAAGAGAAATGTCCACTGAGTGGCGCTAAAACACGGGTTCAATACGTGAACCCTGGTATGTTTTTATTGCGTTGACATGGGTACGTATTGCTGTGTTTTTATTACGTTGCTTCAGGTACGTATTGCGGCGATTCAGAATTCAAATATCCGGGGACTGTCGCTAAAAGTTAATGCTCTATCGTGTTGGAAATATGTCCTACACCAAACCCAACCCTAAACCTACCCGATAGTGTTAACAAATGCAAAACTGATATAAAAACGCATTTGTTGATGCAACCGTGCCATTTGAAGTTCCTTATATGCAGATTTGAACTATTTTGTCGAACTGTACTTACACAGGATTCAAACCGGAGCTCCTCACCTCTCAAGTACGTCTCCATACTCCGTGAGCTACCAAACAAACCTACCATCTATGAAAACCCATAGATATGAAGCTGGATATGTGCGATGCTAACATTCAAAAGCATCCGTTTTCAAATCACCCAGCATATTAAAAATGTTTTGAAGTCATAACATAATATTCTTCAAGTAATTGTGCGAAGATTACGCTTTATTAATCGAAACTCTGTAAATTTGTGTGAAAAGAAATAAAAGGTGTCGGAGTTTTACTGCCTCTAGTGTTCATTTATTTTGGAAACTGCAGTGATATGTACTTATTGGTACGTATTTCGCGTCTCGCGAAAAAGTGCCCCAGGTACGTTTTTGCCATGAGACCAGGTAGCCTAAAATAGTGGTAAGATAGTTGAAATTTCAATTTTGCTCCATCTAATTTTTTGTTTGACTTTTTTCTAGCTAAATTGTATATCATACCGAGCTTTTTAAATACAGATTTCAACAGTAGGTAAAAAGAATATGCACATTTATATGTATACAGTACATTTATTTGTGGCACAATTACACCTGGGCCCTAACCCTAATGTTGCATATGAAAAGGTATGTACAAAAGGATTTTAAACTGCATGATAATTTCACTTTCAGAAATTATAAAAGATAAATTCATAATATGAAATACATTTAGGGATTGATCAATTCAATTTACTATATATATGTAATGTGTAAGTCATAAAAAACAGACTTAATATTTTTTGAGCATGTAAACAAGTTAAAACAGCCTTGTGTGGTATATTTAACCCTATTTTGCCATTACACCATTACTTTTATAATAATGGAACGTCGCCATCAGTTGACCTGATCGGATGGATGGATGGATGGATAGATAGATAGATGAATAGATAGATGGATAGATAGATAGATAGATAGATAGATAGATAGAGAAATCTTAATTAAGCAGTGCATGCGTGCTGAGCCAAGTTTCCCCACAAAAGGCCTCTGTGTGGAGTCGTCCATTCAAACACAAGCAGCTCTAGCATCATGCCAAGTACTGAGAAATAATGGAGCAGTTTAGAGGCTCCGTCCCTGTTCACAGGCTCCCTGAGCTGGGAAAATGTTAGTGCAGCGTTCAGGAGGGGCTTTTAATTGTTTTCTCATCTCTCTTTTTCGTTGGCTTTCAAAAGCCTCGGGGCTGACAAACAGGCAATGAACGGGATTGTTTTGTGTTCCGTTGGCCACAGCCGGAGGTAAACACAACGCGCCCCTGTGTTCCCCCAGTGGCCATGGGAAGGGGGAGAGAAGACAGAGATGGAGGCCCTCCGGAAGCCGACGGAGATGGGCATAGGGTGCCATTATGAGAGCTGGCATTGTGTGTGCTGCTGAGATTCTCATGCATGTCCGTGAAGAGAAGGCCAGGGAGATAAAGCTCTCTCGGATGACGTGAGTAACGGCTCTGTGCTCCCACACACTCGCTTATTTACATGCTCAAGAGTGAAATTAATGCCCCGCGATCTCCGACAGCGCACACAAAGATGCTCACAAAGCTACCTTAAAGGCCTATTAGAGTCTGGAGTGGAAATGGTGGCTTTGAGGTGAGGAGAGGTTGGGATGGGACTGGATAGGACTGCCAACAAGTGATGAGGAGAGAGGAAAAAAATCAGACCTCTTTCTTCCAGTGTGTGATTTATGGATCCGAATGTTAATCTTCCCGCTAACGGCTGCACAATGCACAAACCGTAGCGTGGACACACTGATTGACATCCTTCGATTCTGGGAGTGTGTGTTGAAGAACCAACTTTACAGAACACAACACTGGGCCCCTCTGCATTCATTCAGAGAATTCACAGCTAAGCCAGACAAGTCAACAGTCCTCACGCAGACCTGGATTTCACACACAACAATCACAATTATCAAACGATGCGACGCACAAATGATGCAGTCGGGGAGAGAAGAAGAGGGCTGTTTGTTATTTTCACAAAAACGCTGCATGTATCCCACTTTGAAATAGAGTTTATGCCACAGTAATGGCCTGGATGGAACATGTCTGATCTTCCTAGTCACTATTTGATCATCCTGCGACCATACATATGTTTGCAGAATGTGTGGATATTTGATGCGTGATTTTGTATATTTATTACTTGTTACATTATCACTGAATCGCTAAAGGAAATACTGTAACACTGAATATCAAAGACCTGAATTAGGGTAGCATTCAATTCGGAATTGTACATGTTTTTACAATAAAAACAAGACTGCATATGAATGAATCTTTTGATTGCTGATAAAAGCGCGCAGCGATTCAGTTAAACACTGTGGAACGCCACACAGACGGATATCTAGCGTCTAGGAGTCCAGCTCTGAGGCGCTCGTCTTGCAATGGGAAATCTTGTGTCAATGTGCCACACGGGAATGATTTTAGCACTTCAGAAGACAAGAGATCTGACAGCTAAAAGAGCAAGACGCCATCTTTACCCATTGTCATGACCAAATTTATTTGAAGCCTACCTAGGCTATGGAGAGACGGAGATGGAGGAGGAAGAATGGAGTGATGAAGAGCGCAGAGAGAAAGGAGTTGGATGGCACTTTGGCAGCACAGGCGTGTTCCCAGGAGGATTACTCAAGCCTAAAAACGCACACATTTGTCTGTCTCTCGGCCTTTCTTTCCTTCATCTTTTCACTTCTAACACCCCTTAAGCTGTTTAAATTTCTCTCTCACACCATCTATCCACTATTTTTCAGCATCCTGCTTTTCACTTTAATTGGTCTCATTTCTTCCTCCTCAGTAGTCTTCTGTGAGCCGACAAATCTTCAGTAATGGAAATGTGTTCAGAATGCATGCGAGCGGGTTACGATGCTTATAGTATCCAAAAACACAAGCCTACCCCAATTACTCAGTCTTCACCTAACAGCGTATATATACTCAATACAATAAAACTGACTATAACTCCCCCATTCAAAACAGAGATACCTGCATTATTATTTTTTTCATTATTTATAGCTGAGGAATTTACAGCTATGCTCTACTTCCCTGGGGATGTACTTTATATTGATTTTGACTGAGCTCACCAACCCCCCGGCCTTAATTTCAGCCCCATCACACCTGCCTTCACGGCTAGCCTTTGACTCAAGGCTCTGATGTGACTCGAGTGGGGGAGGATATCACAGAAGGGTCTCCATCTGACACAGAATACTTCATAATCCACAATTGTTTTTCCAAATCAAAGTATAAAAAACCTGCAAAAATAAGCTCCCCTTTTTTAAGCTTCAATAAAGGTCAATTCCAAATAGTTTTAACCTGTTTGTTTAGTTTAAAGGTTTGAATAAAAATAGATTAATCTGTGAAATTATTACTGCATAAACACATTTGTGCACACATTATGCATCTATGCACGCACACACACACACACACACATACACACACAGGTCCCTTAACACAATGAATGGGGGACTTGTACTTTTGGCACTCAGGAGCCTTTTGAAGTCCAACAGAATGAACATAATGGATTATCTGCGTGAAGGCTCTCTCACACATCTCTTAAAATCACACATTAGTCAAGCAGTCCTAGTCCTATAAATAAATAAATAAATACCCACTCACACCTGACCCCAGATTCCACTGAAAATGAAATGAAATTTCTATTTTTTTTATTATAATTTTTTTACATTTTGATTATTACTATTTCATTTTAGTATTACAGGAAACGAGTTGAAAGACAGACATCTTCTGAGTAAACTGTGCGTTTGATAACAGGTGAATGTACCTGAGCTTAACGCACTTACAGCTCAATAAAAAAAGAAATAATTTGCTGATTTAAAAGTTTTTATCATTGTGTGCTTCATACTCATACAGTCATGCAGAAAGAAAGAAAGAAAGAAAGAAAGAAAGATGCCATGAGCAATTTCAAACACATTACATTGAACACATTAGGAAAGCTTTAATGCAAGTATGAATCTATGGCATATGATGTGAAAACACACACGTGCAAACTAACCTACACAGATCTCACCTGTTCGCCTGGAGGACTCAGGAAAGGGTAACTGTTGCTGTTTTCTTCTCGCTCTGCTCTGGTTCTGTCATGCACTTTGGTGAGATGTGACGCGTTGGTAGCGCGCGCGTGCAGCGTTCTGTTTGGATAATCCGGTGCTCCGAGCACATCTACAGTCACGCTGAGGGAAGACTACCTCAGTGAGAACACAGGCGATGTTTACACGCCTCCTGCCCCGCCTCACATCAACCGTTCCTCCTATCTCCACACTCTAGATTGGGCTACCTTTGACTAATTCTACTCGCATTCATCAAATAAATTGACGTTCGCCAGTTGTTTTATAATTGACGTGTACCACAGTTAAAGGGGTCATATGATGCTGCTAAAAAGAACATTATTTTGTGTATTTGGTGTAATGAAATGTGTTTATGCGGTTTTAAGTTCAAAAAACACATTATTTTCCACATACTGTACATTATTGTTTCTCCTCTATGCCCCGCCTTTTTGAGCCGTTTTAGGTAGGTGTGGCTAACTCTTAACTTTTATAAAGAATATCTCTTTGGATTTGAGACTTTAGTCTTTGCAACTTTACAGATCTTCTTTATGCACCAAGAGCTTGTAACACTCTAAAGAGAAAGGAAAAAATGAAATCGCATCATATGACCCCTTTAACTGACGTTACGTCTAAAATAACGATGAGTGTGCGTTTAGGAATGTTTAGGTCCTATATGGAAGAATTAAAAGAGCCGAAAGGAAAACGAGGCAAGAAATTGAATGTGTCGAGTGATGAAAGGATGAGGAGAAACAAAGCGGTCTCACGGCAATTAGTGGCGTATTTAAATGAATTTGTAAAATCTCATTCATACCTTTTCCTACGATCTTCTCTCGATGCACCGAGGGTTATGTTAGGAGTGGAGCCTCATGCCTTTGTTTTACAAATCTGCATTTTTACACCCGTCACCACCGTCGGATGTGTCAACTCCGTCAGTTGTCACCTCCGTCAGTTGAATATTTTGATAATATTTCATTATGATATTTTATATTTGTTGTGGAATTGTTGGTCACATGTGAACGTGTAATCTGTCTGCTAACACGATAATGTGTTTTGAAATGTTAAAAACATCTTGAGTGCTGTTAAAGATAAAGTTGAAATTATATTACACAGTCCAAGGTAACAAAAGCACATTTTGTTAAAAAAAGAGAAAATTTGGGAGGTTGTATCAAAGCATAGCTCAGTGGCTTAGTACATATAAGATACATAAATGTAGTTTCATTTGTCTGAGTACAAGGTTTTATTTTTTCAATTTTGCACCCTGTTTTGTCCCACTTCTCAAGAATGACTGATTTGCAAAACAGTTAAGTTAATAAAACTAAATGAATGAATAAATAATCCTAATAGGGCCCCATAGATGTCAATGGAACTTGAAAATGAGCTTGTAGCACTATTCAAAATTTGTTTTCCTCAACTAGAATTTGTGACTAGATATTGTTAAAATTAGGCAAATGGCAACAAAACACACAATAGCTTTTAAATTATACAACATAGGCTACAAACTAATATAAAATTAATACAATATACAAAGTAATAATTAAATAAACAACAATTAATTAAATGCATTTATATCCAGATCAGTTAAATTTGTTATTTTGATCTTACATTTGCATAATTGTAACAGAATATCTGGTAACAAAAAAAAAAATAAATAAAAAGGTGATCAGTGCTGCAAGCTCCTGCGATTAAAACCAGACTTTAAAGAGTTTTCATGATTACACACATTGGTATCTTAAGATACTTTTGACATAGATAGGTTTGACATCCAACATCCAACTAAAACAACAGCATGACTAATTTAGAAAGTAAGGGTTAGGAAAACAATACACAGAATCTTAGACATCGTATAAGTGATTTATTTGAGCACTAGAAAAATACAATAATTTTTGAGTATTAAAAAGAAATAAGAAAAAAAAGAATTAAATATGTATGCCAAGTACATCCTGTGATTGCTAGACATACAGCATTCACACTGATAGCTGCTCATAAAGTCAGTAATCACATGCTGATGGCCGGTCATACAGATGGTAATTAAACCATCTGTATAATTACCATCTGTACTGTGCGATTAAGTGTCCCCAACTAAGCAAGCCAGAGGCGACCGCAGAAACTCCATCGGTGACAGAATTGGAGAAAAAAACCTTGGGAGAAACCAGGCTTAGTCGGGGGGCCAGTTCTCCTCTGACCAGACGAAACCAGCAGTTCAATTCAAGGCTGCAGCAAAGTCAGATTGTGCAGAGGACTCATCTGGTTCCCATGGTCTTGTTCTGGTGGCTGTCTAGGAGACAAGGTTTTGATGTACTCTGCTTGACTGAAACCTGGCTAAAACCTAATGATTATATTGGTCTAAATGAGTCTACCCCACCAAGCTACTGTTATAAGCATGAGCCCCGTCAGACTGGTCGTGGCGGCGGTGTTGCAACAATATATAGTGATATTCTCAATGTTACTCAGAAGACAGGATACAGGTTTAACTCATTCGAAATACTAATGCTTAATGTTACACTGTCAGATATGCAAAAGAAATCTATCGTATCTCTTGCTCTGGCTACTGTGTATAGACCACCAGGGCCATATACAGATTTCCTAAAAGAATTTGCAGATCTCCTCTCAGACCTATTGGTTACTGTCGGTAAAGCGCTAATTGTCGGAGATTTTAACATTCACGTTGATAATACAAATGATGCATTAGGACTTAAGTTTACTGACCTAATAAACTCTTTTGGAGTCAAGCAAAACGTCACCGGGGCCCACTCATAGTTTTAATCATACGCTAGATTTAATTATATCGCATGGAATTGATCTTACTGATATAGATATCGTACCTCAAAGTGATGATGTTACTGACCATTTCCTGGTATCGTGCATGCTGCGTATTACTGATATTAACTACATGGCTCCGCGTTATCGTCAGGGCAGAACTATTGTTCCAGCCACCAAAGACAGATTCACAAATAAACTGCCTGATTTATCTCAACTGCTCTATGTACCAATAAGTACACATGAACTAGACGAAATGACTAGCAACATGGGCACTATCTTCTCTAATACATTAGAAGCTGTTGCCCCCATCAAATTGAAAAAGGTTAGAGAAAAACGTACTGCGCCATGGTACAACAGTAATACCCATTCTCTCAAGAAAAAAACTCGTAGTCTTGAGCGCAAATGGAGAAAAACTAACTTGGAAGTTTTTAGAATTGCGTGGAAAAACAGTATGTCCAGCTATAGACAGGCTCTAAAAGCTGCCAGGGCCGAGCATATCCACAAACTCATAGAAAATAACCAAAACAATCCAAGGTTTTTATTTAGCACAGTGGCTAGATTAACAAATAACCAGACGCCACCCGATCTAAATATTCCCTCACAGTTTAATAGTAATGACTTTATGAATTTCTTCACTGATAAAATAGATAACATCAGAAATACAATAAAACTGAAAAATTAGTGTTTACTATTGTCACTTTGCATTATTGACACACTATTTTCCTAATTAATGCTGTTCAGTTGCTTTGACACAATCTGTATTGTTAAAAGCGCTATATAAATAAAGGTGACTTGACTTGACTTGACAAGGTCTTCACTGGGGATCTGTCTCCGGGGCTCATCTAGTTGTCCTGATCTCCGCTGACATTTAGGGCCGTAGAGGTCCTCTCTAGGTGCTGATCCACCTGATCTGGTCTGATCTGGATACAGACTGGATCTGGGTGGCTACAGTAACCTTGGAATAAGAACAAAACAGACTAATATTAGCATAGATGTCATTCCTCTTATAATGTAATGAGTACATCGGGAAGTGTTCCTGGTTCCGGTTGACCTAATTAATGCAGCCTAACAATCCTTTAATGGATTTGAATAATATAATGTTTTAGTGTGTTATGTGTAAACCAGGTTAAAGAGATGGGTCTTTAATCTATAGCAGATTTAAACTGACAGAGTGTGTCTGCCTCCCGAACAATGTTAGGTAGATTGTTCCAGAGTTTGGGCGCTAAATAGAAAAAGGATCTGCCGCCCGCAGTTGATTTTGATATTCTAGGTATTATCAAATGGCCAGAGTTTTGAGAACGCAGCGGACATGAAGGACTATATAGTGCAATAAGAACTCGCTCAAGTATTGGAGAGTAGTAATTAAGTAATTAGCAATATTTTGAAATGTATATGATATTTAATAGGGAGCCAGTGCAGTGTTGACAGAACCGGGCTAATATGGTCATACTTCCTGGTTTCTAGTAAGAACTCTAGCTGCTGCATTTTGGACCAGCTGGAGATTGTTTATTAAGTGTGCAGAGCAACCAATAAACAATGCATTACAATAATCTAACCTTGAGGTCATAAACGCATGAATTAACATTTCTGCATTTGACATATGTTGGACCAGCTGGAGTTTGTTTATTAAGTGTGCAGAGCAACCACTTAATAAAGCATTACAATAATCTAACCTTGAGGTCATGAACACATGAATTAACGTTTCTGCATTTGACATTGAGTGCATAGGTCTTAATTTAGATATATTTTTGATATGAAAAAATGCGGTTTTACAAATTTCGAAGCTTTTGAAGGAAATATTGCTATCAAATAGGTTCACCTAGGTTCCGAACTGTTGATGAATTGAATGAATTGACAGAGCAGCCATTAAGTGTTAGACAGTATTCTAGGTTATTACATGCAGAGGTTTTTGGCCCAATAATTAACACCTCTGTTTTTTTCAGAATTTAGCAGTAAGAAATTACTAGTCATCCAGTTTTTTTATATCAACTATGCGTTCCGTTAGTTTTGCAAATTGGTATGTTTCGTCCGGCCGCGAAGAAATATAGAGCTGAGTATCATCAGCATAACAGTGAAAGCTAACACCGTGTTTCCTGATGATATCTCCCA